ATATATATATATATATAAATCAATTGGTGATTTGGTACTTTAAAAAATAAAAGTCCTCCTTCTTTGGTTGCCCTGCTGTATTGCACTTGCTGGTAAAGTTGGACTGGCTTCACTTTGGAGGAGAAAGGCATCTCTTCAGCTTGGGAAAGACGTTTGCTGCTGCAGCCCTGGGCTCATTTAAAAATTGTCCCTTTGCTCTCTCCGTACGGACTCTCCATGTGATGTGTCAGTGGACCAGTGCCACATGGGGAAGTCTAGCTGCTCACTGCAAGCTCCCTTTCTAGACAGCGCTACGATCCAGGCGATCTTGCTGCAGAAACAAGATACAGAATGACATTAGCACACGTTTGAGGACATAACTCTGGACATACTTGTGCAGCAGGAAGAAAACAGTAAAGATACAAACAGACGTACAGCTCTCCATTTCCTTCTCACAGATGTAGCTTATGAGATCTTCACAGAAGAAATCATTCCACAACCCTTCATGGATGAGTCCCGCACAGTCTTCTCCTATTTCGTGCCCATGGCCCCAGTTGTCAGGCTGACCAGGCTTCCACTTCCTGCAGGCAAACAACAGGGGGCGATCACACATTACATATGGAAAACCAACAGAGGTGGAAGAGAGAATAAAAGAGAATAAACTGCAGCAGGAATTTAAGTTGGATCATCTGATTTCTTTGGCACACACAAAGTCTAATTGAGACCACCAGTGTAGATCTTTCAGGATTACAAGGCTTTTATTCCTGCTGGGTTGTGATTATCTATCTATTGTTGTAGCTTTGTAAGCTTAGATTTTTGCCTAATTGTTGAATTTTTTGCTTTTGTTGTCCTGTGTACACTTGCAAAACAGAAGAAACTGCTCTGACTGGACCACCCTGACTAATTAAAGGTTTAGTGCATGTGAAAGTGTTTGTTTTGTTTGGGCAGCAGGAATAGAGGAGTTGGGTTTTTTGCATGAAGGTCAAAGTAATCAGAAAATATCCGAAAGTTTCAATTTTCACAAGAATTTGTGTGCTTATTTGGTTTTGTTTCATGTAACCGAAGGTCTACCGCTTGTTATTATTATTGGAAAGCAGTATTTTGCACAGCTCTGAAACAAAATATCCATCCCAAGAACACCTACTTTCACACACGATAAGATGTTCCCTTATGATTGATTTAATACTGACGTGAAAGCAGGTTCAGTCCCGTCCAGCCAGCGCCAAATGTTCTCCTCCTCCTTGTCGGTCAGACCCATCCAGAAGTAACCCTTTCCAAAGGTCTGTTTCTTCAGCCATTTCTATGGTCACATGAGGACAGAAAGCACTGAGTCACAACTGAGCAGTTACCTCACACATTACAGAGCAATGACCGCCTTTCTTTCCATTGCATAATTATTTTCTTTCCCTGAGTGCAAGAAATATAACCGTAATTTGTCACCTGTTCCTCCATATCGTTGATGATCAGCAGTGAAGCAGATGCTGATTCACAGGTTGCCTTTGCGTCATCAAAACTGTGCAGGTCTTTGGAGAAAAAGTAGCACTTGTCTCTGTAGTTTACCCACTCAAATGGGCATCCTGTAAAACATCGGGTAATTTCATTTAATGAATCAAAAACTACAATACTGGCAGTGGTGCTAAATTATCAAATTGTTATGCCTTAAACACATTTATTATCAAAGAAGCGACTTTTTTTGGGAACTATTTGCTTTCTTACCAAGAAGATTGATACTAGAGCTAAAGCCAGCAGCTGGTTAGCTTAGCTTAGCATAAAGACTGGGGAAAGTGGGGAAAAGTGTCCAAAGATAATAAAATCTGCCTATCACACCACATAACCTCCTCTACAGTCACATCTTGTTGTTTTAACAGTTTGGTTTTAGGATTAAACAAACAAAGTGTGGGTTAACATGTTAATAAGTGAGTTTTAGAGACAGGGCCAGGCTAGCTGTTCCCAGTCTTTATGCTAAGCTAAGCTAAGCTTACCAGCTGCTGTTAAAGTTGTATCGATCTTCTCATCTCAGCAAAAATGTGAATAAGCCTGAATCACAAAATGCACAAAACTATTCTTTTAACACAATATTCAATCTGAGTAATACAGTGTTCTTTTTCTGGAGTGATACAACAAATGCCATTGTTTGAATATTATAGTAAATCTGTACAAAACAGAATAAAGTAATGTACACTGAGCTGATTCAATACATTACTTCAGGATCTGATAAAGTGATTCCAACAGCAACAGAAACTTCATTGGTAAAGTCGTACCTAGAGTCCACATTGTCGGAGCTACTGCCTCATCCTGCAGAGACACAGGGCCAAAAGGAATTACTGGACTCCGTATTGGGATCCCTGGTTGTCCCGGTGGTCCTGGTGGTCCCGGAGGACCCACTGGTCCCGGCAGTCCTCTTGGCCCCTGCTCCCCAGCTGGTCCCATTGAGCCTCTGATACCCGGTGGACCCTGTGCCCCCTGAGGGCCAGGCTGCCCGTCTCTTCCAGGCAGACCAGCACTACCTGGCTCTCCTTTAGTTCCAGGAGGTCCGGCCCTCCCTCCTGAACCTCGGGAACCCTTCGATCCGGGACTGCCAGGTATGCCTGGCAGGCCTTTCAACCCTGGTAGACCCGGTGGTCCTGGGGAACCCTGCTCTCCTCGTGATCCTCGTATCCCTGGAGCACCCTTTTCCCCTTTCTCTCCTTTCTGGCCAGACTGACCAGATGGTCCCTGAGGTCCTTTGTCACCTCTTGGCCCTCTGGGACCAGGAGGACCTGATAAATAAGACATTAAAATAGTGAAACAAACTTTATTGTATTTTTTTTAATAATTGTGCCACATTGAAAAAAAGCAGCTGAGAGTTAGATGAGTAGATTGATACAACTCATGTTTGTTGGTTTAATGTGAAGCTATAGCCAGTAGCAGGTTAGCTGTGCTTAATAGTTTGGCATATTACCCCAGGAAAAACCACAACTTTAGTTTTTTACACTTTGTTTTTTGTGCAGATTAAACAAACAAGAAATAACATGTTAATTGAGTTAAATAAATGCTTATAGGTAGATTTGTCACCTTTAGACAGAGCTAGGTAAACTTTTTGGGCTAAGCTAAGCTAACACGCTGCAGGCTATAGCTTCACATGTAGTGTATAGACATGAGATTGGTATCAATCTTCTCATCTCACTCTTTGCTAACATATTTTCTCAAAATCCTCCAAAATTCCTTTAATTTTAAACAAAATGTTTCACTACAGCCACACATTCCTCACCCTTTAAAATAGTGAAGTTGGTTATTAGTTGCGAGTGCTTGGTGTCCACCAGCTTCATTTCTTCCATGACAAAAGAGATGTTGGTGACCTCCTTGTCCACACGTGCTGCCAGCTCTTCCTGCTGGGACCTCAGACTGGCTGCGTCTGTCCTCACATCCGCCACGCTGCTGTTGAGGTTTAGTAAGAAATCTGAGTGACGGCCGATGGTCTCGGAACAAGTGCGTAGATCGTTCAGGTTAAGGTTGATGGCGCCCAGGAGCTGCGTGGTGAAGCTGATGTTGCCAGTTACGCGGTCCATACTCTGCTCTGACTCATCTAGCCGCACCTCCAGCCGGTCAAACTTGGTGGCCGTGAGGTTTCTGAAGTCCCTCTGCTGGTCCAGAATCTCCCTCAGGGTCTGGTCGTGAGCGTCAGCCACACTGCTGGTGTTCTGGAGCTCACTGGTCATAAAAGCGAGCTGCGATCCCACCTCTTCCAGGTTGTCGTTGTTGGCCTTTGCAAGAGCTGAGGCATTACTAGCCATGATCTGCAGGTTTTCCACCTTACTGCGAAGCCACTCTGCATCAGAGCGTGTCTGTCGGGCCGTCTGCTCGAGGCTCTGAAAGTCATTGCGCATTTTCTGGATGGCCTGGCTAGTGTCATCCACTGAGCGCTGCAGGACGGCGATGAGGCCTCTCTGCTGGGCCTGTGTGAAGTTAAGGCTGCTGATGCTGAGAAGCGCCTGGTCCTGAAGTTTCACCTGCTGCTGGAGTTCTCTCTGCAGCCTGGCTGTGTCGTCCTGCAGACCTCCGATGATGCTGCCGTAAGACTGCAGGGTGCTGTTTACAGAGTGCAGGGTGGCTGTGTTGCTATCCAGCAGTCCCTGAATGGAGCCCTGGTTGTTCTGGATGTCTGAGCCAATGTTCTCCAGCTGACTCAGCTTAACTTGATCGCTGTGGATGCGTTCCTCCACCGCAGACAGCTGCCTCTGGAGAGTCCAGATGTTGTTCTTAAAAGCCTGGATTTCTGTGGTGGTGTTCTCCGACTTCTGCCCTGCTTGATCATCTGAAGAAATAGATTTGTACAATAAATTAGAAAAAAGGTTACAGCCTCTCGCTGAAGCTTTTACTTCAATTTAAGTCCAGATACATCAAACTTACCCAGCTTTTTCAAATCAGTCTCAACAGCAATTATCTTTCCTCCATAGTTTGCAATACCTTCAGACACACTGTCTACCCTTTGCACCACTGACAGAAAAAAGACAGGACAGGTAGGACAAAGGTTAGTGTCATAGTCTCATCACAGGCCCCGTCCTTTATTAACAGACCAGAATTGCCTGCAACCACAGACATCGTATATAAAAGGGATCACACAGGAAACCAATGAAATTTACTGACATATATCCTATAAGAGATGTGTCTACATGTCTTGTAGGCATGTAATAACGGTAGACTCGATTAATGAAATCTCTTGGTTTAGGCCATATTTAAAGTGTGACAGAGGCAGAGAGACGTGGAAAAAGCGGGATTTAGAGTTGCAGTTTAATTTAGCGTGAGAGAGGCATTGCAAAACAGAGGAAGTAACATTGATTCAGCAAAGATGGAGTGGGTGGTCAATGACAGAAACTGCTGATGGAGGTGCATGGGGAGACACTGGCGAGGGCCCTAGGGGACAGGAAGTGACCTAAGGGGGGGTCTTCAGTAAACAGGTGGATCAAAGACAGCCCAGAGGAGGCAGACGCTGTGGCAGGGAGGCTCTTTACGCCCCCACAGGCGACACCAGCATTCATTTCCTCTGGAATGTGTCTGGGATTCCAGGGAATCAGCCCACTTCTACCACCAGCCTCGCCAGGGGGACACATCCTTTAACCGGGAACTGCATGGGCTCCTCTGCTAGGAAGCTGCATCCCAGCTGTTTGTGCCAACAGTTAAAATAGTTAAATCCCCAGGCTTTCACCTCCACGGGTCAAATCACCAGGAAGACAACCCGAGCCGGTTCAAATCCATCCAGCCTTCAAAATGAGGACACAAGTAAATCCTGTTATTTATGTACCAATTAGCACAAATAGTGGCCTTAATGTTGTTGTATACTTCTTAGGAAATAGTTTATGTCCCATTTATATTGGATACATTGACATATTTAGGAAATAAAGTTATTCACTATTGTATCTTCTGTTATATATGAAGCTGCCACCAGCTTTTGGCTGGCTTATTTTAGCATGACGACTTGAAACAAGGGGAAGCAGATTGCTTGGCTCTGTCCAAAGGGAACACAATTTGCTACCAGCACCTCTAAAAAGAATAATCAGGTTTGTTTAATCTGCACAATAGTCCAAGTAAAAAATTATATGCATATCTTGTTATTGGACAGAGCCAAGCTAGCTGATTCCAGGCCTTATGCTAAACTAAGCTAAGCTAACTGTCTGTCTGACTATTATAATTACCTTACAGATATGACATGTCATATTGATCTCATCTAGCTCTCTGCAACAAAGCAAGCTCATTCTCAAAATGGATTCCTTTGAATTTAAGACCCCAGAAGCAAAAGAAAATGATTCTCAGTTCCAGACGACAAATACAAAAATATCTTTTATTCTTCTGGAAAATTCCTCCTGAGCAATTGACACTGAAATGTTTGGGAAACTTCAAATTGGAAAATGAATCTTTAACCAATATGGTCAAAGCTGTTTTTTGTTTTCTGTCTTCACTCTGTTAGACATCATAGAAACACACCTAAAGTTGTCTCATGGAACAAATAAACACATTTAAAACCATTTGAACCAATAAAACTATCCAGGGATTACCACATTATTTTTAGTTATGAGAGAAAATGGTCAGTTGGACAGGAAATGTTCCACACATCAACTAAATGGGACACATTTCCAGACACAGACTGTATACAGTTCAGCACTGCAGAGCACAAAAGACACTTTGACTTCAACTTCACAGGCCGAACAGCCGATGGCACATTGTTTCTTTCACCAACACTTACATGTACTCTA